AGCCAGGAATAAGAAGAAAGGGCTGCTGGAGCTGATAAATTTGCAAGATGATAGCCATGTTATTGCTGGTGGGAGTACTTATAATGTGACGATGGAGTCGCTCATTAATGGGCAAATCCATCATTAATGATTAATATTTTGTGCTGGAATGTTAGGGGACTGGCGCATCCTACGTCCCTTAACAGACTCCATCTCAATAGGATGTACAAGTTTTCGCTTATTGCAAATTTGGAGCCTTTGGTGTCCAAACACCCCCCCAAAATCTTTAACAAATTCCCAAGCTTTTAACACTTCTCTAATGTTAACAACAAAATTTGGTTATTATGCAGGCATGAGGTGCAGTGGGATATCCTTATTGATCACCAATAGTTTGTTCATCTCTCTATTAATCTTGCTGGGGCTTCCAGCTTTGCCACTTTCATTTATGCAGGATGCTCCCCATTTGCTAGGAGAGAACTTTGGGGTGAACTTCTCATGATCAGCCAATCAATGTATTCTAAATGGTTAGTGGGAGGTGACTTAAACTGCCTGGCTTCTCCCAATGAGAAGTTGGGGGGGAGCCCCCCTGACATCAACACTATATCTCTTTTCAATGACAATATTCAATTGGTTGGACTGCATGATTTGGGTTTTACTGGGCCCAAGTTTACGTGGAGAAGAGGGGAGCTTTGGGAAAGACTGGACAGAATGCTTGGTTAAATGACTATCTTCATACTTCTGTCCTTCTCCTACCTATGGCAGGGTCTGATCACAGGCCCCTTATCATTTCTATCTCAGGTTCCCCAAGTAATTTCGATGCTCCTTTCAGATATCTTAACATGTGGGCCTCCCATCCAGTCTTCCTTAATCAGGTGTCTCAAATCTGGAAAGACTACAAACATGATAATCCTTGGATTAGACTATGAGTTCTGCAGAAAAAACTCAGTAGACATCTCAAAAACTGGAATTGGAAAGTTTTTGGCAATATCCATGCTAGAGTTGAAGAAGCTGAAAAAATGGTCTCCCAGCTGGAAGCACAGGTAGGAACCAATCAAGCCTCTGAAGCTGATCTCTTTTCAGCCAATGAATTGCTTCTGAATGCCATTGCACAACATATCTGTTATCACAGAAAGCTGCAATGACTAAGTTTTGTGAGGGGGACAAAAGTACCAAGTTCTTTCATGCCTGCATTATCCACAGGAGGCAATGTAACACTATACAAAAGATTCAGGATTCTTCTGGTACTTGGCAGCATACTAATGAGAGTATTGCTTCCAATGCTGTTATGCACTTTAAAAAGCTACTGTCTCAACCCCCAATTCACAAAAATGGCATCAATGTTAATCTCTTCTGTCATGATAGGGATTTTACTAATCAACTTGACCTCACTGCTATTCCACAAGAAGAGGAGATATGGTCTGCCTTAAACTCCATAGACAGCAACAAAGTGGCTGGTCCAGATTGTTATTCAGCTGACTTTTATAAAAAAGCCTGGAAAATTATTAAACTTGACATTATTGAAGCTGTACAATGTTTCTTCAGTGAGGGTAGATCCTCCTAACTACTTCAAGGCATCTATCATTACTCTCATTCCCAAAGCTAAGGCCAGACAGAAATGGGACCAATTAAGACCATTTTGCCTCACAAATGTGATTAGCAAAATCATTAGCAAGGTCCTTGCATTCAGGCTCCAACCCCACCTACCCTTTTTAATCAGTGAGAACCAGCCTGCTTTCATTCAAGGGAGAACATTGTGGACAATGTTCTTTTGGCTCAGGAATTATTGTTAGATTTGGAAAGAAGCGGTAGAAAAGGTAATATTATCTACAAGCTTGACATTAAGAAAGCATATGACACAATCCATTAGGGATTCATTGAGGAGGTGCTTCTGGCTAAGGGATTCTTCTCCCAGTTCACTAATCTGATCAGCAGATGGCCATCCAACAATTTTCATTCTATCCTCTCAATGGGCAAACCCATGAGTTTTTCAGCTCCACTAGAGGAATCAAATAAAGTGATCCACTCTCCGTTTGGATTTATGCCAACAGGTCTACCGTGGAAGCTATATATTTATTGAGAGATTTGATGGAAAAGTATAAAATAAAGAAAGATCAATATATGGCTTTTGTTGATTTAGAAAGAATATACAATAAAGTATCAAGAGAAATATTTTATAGAGTTCTAGAATAAGAAAGATGTTGATATTGTTTTTATTCAAATCATTAAAGATATGTATACTAGAGTTGTTACTTGTGTTCGAACACAAGGATTGACCAAGTATTTTCTTATTACAGTTGGATTGCATCAGGGATCAACTTTAAACCCATATCTTTTTGCTTTAGTTATGGATGTTCTTAAAGGATACTTGCAGAAGGATATACTTGACATATGTTTTTCGCTGATGATATCCTTCTTTTGGATAAAACTAGTGAGATTTAGGAAAAAAAACCTAAATTATGGAGATCAACTTACATTGTAACGGTTCTCGTTTGAGTAGATCTAAAACTGAAAATATGGAATGAAATTTTAGTAATAGCAGATCTAGTGACAGGGTTATAACAATGGGTGATCAACTCATCAAAAGGAGTGAACATTTTAAATACCTAAGGTCTATTGTTCAATGTGATAGTGATATAGATGGGAATGTTATCAGTAAAATTCAAGTTGGATGGTTAAAGTGGAGGAATGCATCGGCCTATTGTGTGATATAAAATTATCACCGAGTTTTCCAAGAAATATTTTATAAGATAATGGTGAGAGCTACAATGCTTTATTGAGCAGAATGTTGGCCTATAAAAAAGTAGCATAAAATGAAGTGTTGTTGAGATGAGAATGCTCAGATAGATGAGTGGTTGTACACTTAGAGACAATGCAAAATGAATATATTTGTGAAAGGGTTGGTGTAGCTCCAGCGACGGACATGATTAGAGAGAGCTGTCATAGATGGTTTGGTCATATTAAATATCGACCATCTACTGAACCTAATAGGAGAGAGTTGTTTTAGATTTGATTTATGATAAGAAAGTTAGAGGTAGACCTAAAAGGACATGGGCATATTGTATAAAAATGATCTAAATTTATTAGAATTAAATATAATTATGTCGCTCAATAGAACACAATGGAGAAAAAAGATTTTTTAGGCACCCCACTCAGTGAGATAAAAACTTGTTGTTGTGGGCAGATTTACATACGTGTCACTTTTACATATCCAACATCTAGACTTTATTTTTTACATATAGACCTCCTAACTATTGCATTAGAAAGTGTATTTTAGTTCGAAAAGTTAAAATAATGATATTTCTCATATGATATAAAAGATTGTGTGGTGAATGTAAAAAAAGTAAAGTTGAGTGTTAAACACATAAGCACATAGGAATTGGGTAGTATGCATCTAAAGGTACGTTTGAGGTAGCTTGTGCTTATCCAGACAAGCAACTTATCCTGAAATGTGGCCCACGGGTGGTCCGCCAGATTCGACCCGCGGCCTGTGTTTAGTGTAAAAACCCAACCACATTTTAAGATAAGCTGTCGAAATGTATTTTCCAAACAGTGAGGAAGCTGCCCTAAACAAGCCCTAAATGTCCCTTATCTTTTTAATTGAGTTCAAGTGGTGAGCTTTTAATTTCACTAATAAATACCCCTCTTTAATTAAAATTGCTTATTTCATATAAGATGTTTTTAATCAATAATTTATATTAAATTAATTAATTGTAATCAAAATATATATTTACTTCATTTTTAAATACAATTAAATAAAATTTAAAAATTATATAAAATTATTTTAATAAATTGAATTGAATTAAATAATAACTTTTAAATTTGAATAAATTTATTTAATTTAAATGTCCAAATAATTTTAAAAATGATAATAAAAAATTTCTTACAATTTTCACTAATTATTCCACCTAAGTAGGGGTGTAAACGAACAGAGCTTGTGTTCGCGTTCGGTTCGTTTGAAATTTAGTTTGTTTGAAATAAGCTCGTGTTCGAAATTGTTCGTGAAGTCACTGTTCATATTCATTTCTTAACGAACGAGCTGAACACAAGCTGTTCGCGAACGACGAGCCAATTTGACATCCTTAATATTAAGATATATAAATATTTATATATTATAATATATAAAATTTAAAATTTTAAAATATCGTAAATTTTATATACATAAATATTTTAAATTATTTTATATTTCGAATAATAACAATTCGAACTCGAACGAACGCATCACTGTTCGTATTTGGTTTGTTTAACTAATCGAACGAAAAAAATTTGTTCACGTTCGTCTCGTTTACTTACTGAACGAATCGAACACAAACACATTGACGAACCGAATACGAACTGTTCGCGAATGACGAGCTTTTTTGACAGCCCTAAACCTAAGTGAACCAAAAAAAATTGCTCTAGAAATCTACAAATCCTGATCAAACTAATTAAATAAATAAAAGGAACATTTATATACATACCACCGAATTCTATGTATTTACATATCTAACACCTAAACTTTGACTTTTACATTTATACCATCTAAAATTTTCTCATCTCTTTAAAAATACCACTATTTTAACTTCAAAAAAGTGAAATAGCTCTTTTCATGCATCTAATGTGGCATATATGTAAAAATTGAAGGTCAGGTGTTCAATATGTAAATAAATAAGACTTTAGTGGTATGCAAGTAAATCTTTCCAAGAAAATAAAAAAAAAACAACTAGGTTTGTTCCAGGCTCCAACCGACTCGAAAAGATGGACAAAGAAAACACGAAAAGGAGACTTTTATATTAATCTTCTGTCAGCCCTTGGGGTGGAAATAAACGAAATATATATTTATTATTGATCGCAGTCACCGATTTAACAACCAACTGCGCCCCACGCCAGTTTGCCGTTTAACCGAGGACTGTGCCTATCAATAAAACTTTTTTTATAAATACCAAAAACTTATAATTTATATTAATCAAATATCTTGCTTTAAAATTTTTCCAAATCAAAATGATGGAAATATTGAATTCTTCAATGATAAATGCAAGTCTGACCTGAATACAGCGGCTGATAATATCTGCAAAACGAGAGAGCGATTTCTCAGAATACTTCCCACAAATAGAAGGATCCACCATTCTTGACAAGGCATCGATGTCATGTAACTGAGAGTTAGCCCACCTAACTAAATGCTGTTCCGCTCTAGGCAGGGAGCTAAAGTCATCAAATGAGAAAAATGGTCACAAAATAATTTCTTAAAAGATCACTGAGGTTGCAGAGATGAAAAGTTAAGTACCTATCATAGGGTTCACGGCCTGCAAGGAGTTCCAACATGACAACTCCAAAGCTGTAAACATCACTCCGTTCACTATATGCTCCAGATTCGTGAACTTCTGGGGCTTCGTAGTTCAATAATGCACGCATTCGACCTGATAACTGGTAAGAACCAGCATTATTGGTACATCTTATTATGTCTATCCAAATCAGGCTGAACAATGCACTTAATAACCAAAGAGTCTCAAACACGTACTTAACCAACCAAAGTATGCATATTGTGATATCTCAATGGAAATCAAGTTTTCATCATTCTGCAACTTAATGATCCGACGGATGAATGTAATTTATGGAATAATTCTTAAGAAAAATTCTATATATTATTGAATTGTCTCAAATTTTGATTAAATTTCCTTTCAATATTTCATAGTACACAATATTTTTCAAATTCTTTAAGAGCATCAAAAATAAAATATGCCTCCAACAGCTAAATAGGATGAGAGTCACCAGCGAAGTGCCCCCCAGATCTTTAAATAAATGAAAATCCCAAAGAGACATCAACTTCTTTCTTACACATGAAAAAATTTTATGCTAAAACTCTGCTGAGCCACAAACTCGAAAAAACATCCTTTAAACCAGTAAAGCATTTCTAAATAAAATTTGCAACATCTTACCTGTGTTACAGAATCAGAAGATAACAGAGATGCTAGGCCACAATCTGCCACTCGCACTGCAAGTTCATCATTCACAAGAACATTGCTAGGTTCAAAATCCAGATGAAACATGGGTGGCTGAAACTCGTGAAGATATCTACATGATAAATGGAGATTTTTTTTTCAGTCTACAACACTAAACTGCCACTTAATAAGATCCAACAAAAGAGAAGTTAACACAAACTTCTTCAGAAACCCTAGTTTCACTTACTCAAGAGCTCTTGCTGCCCCAAGGGCTATTTTGAGACGAGCATTCCATGATAGCTTTCCTTTTAGTTCATCATGGCCATGCAGTATATCATGCAAGGTTCTTTTACTGAAGTAGTTATAGACTAGCAGTCGTAGTCCATGTTCAGAACAGTAACCCACAAGCTCAAGAATGTTTGGATGTCGAAGCTCAGAGATGCTCAGGACTAGTTCAAGAAAATCATCCACTGGTATTTTGGAGTTCGCATTGTCCAGCTTCATAACAGCCAGTGGCTAGAACACAGAAATTGAAGGTCAATCCGAATGAAGAGCTTACGATAGAGTAAAGAACAAGTTTCTAGTTGATAAGAAAAAATGAATACATTGCCCGCAGTAAACTAGCAATTTTTAGAAGGTGAAATGAGATTGATTTTACTGTTGGACATATATGAAAGTAGAAAGACATCAAAACGTTTATGTTAGCCCACAAAGTTGATTTTTTTAAGCAGCAGAACAGATCAACTCTTAAGTTCTATGCTAATTAGTTGAATAAAAGTTTATAACTTCGCCTTCTCTCTTCTTGATAGGAGTATTAAAAGCATGCAATAGCATTAAGAGTAGTACAACAGATGGAGTTCAGATTCATTTGAAGAGCAAGCTATGGAGAATTGACTGTTATACCTTCCCATCTGGAAGCTCTCCCAAGTACACCTTTCCCAATCTACTATCTTTTATCACATTTTCTTCTCTAAAGCTGTTAGTGTATTGCTGTAGTGTTGCAACAGAATAAGATGTAACTGGGGATGGGGTATCAGCAGCGACAGAAGGTTTGGTGGCTGTACTTTCTTCAGGTGGAAAAATAGGATTTACAATGACTTGTTCAACAGGAGGGGATGAGGGCAGGGGAGGGGGAGGGGGAGGGGGAGGCAGTAGCGGTGTCATTTGAAATATTCCTGAATCGACTTTATCAATTTCTAACTTCTTCTGCTTCTCTGAATCTTCCTTTTGAACTGCCAAAACAAGATAGAATGCTACATCCTAGCCAAAAAAAAAAAATAAACATAAAAGGATTATAAGTACAAACAAAAATTTACCTGCACTAGTCATGCTAATTTTAGGTACTTGTTTTGGTTCCACATATGCCTGTCGTGGAGCTGTTAAAATTACATCTTGAGTTATTAAGGTAGCAACTGATTAGAGCGAAGAAAAAAAAATTTTTTTTCCCTAAAAACTAGAAGATTAGTGAAGAGTACGTTTCTTTATGCGCTCATTTTGCCCTGTGGATTGCTCATTGCTTTTAGGTTCCTCAGTCCTCAGAGGTGCCCTCCGCTGTTGCCTTACAGGAAGTTCGTCACGTTCTGAACTTCTTTCTTGCAGCTTAGATAAGCAAAATACGACAGCTAGCACAATCATAATAAATGAAACCACCCCTGCAAGTACATATCCAACAATTTTGATGGCTGAGGTGCTTTTATGTTGTGCAGGTTCACCACTTCTTGGTGCAGAAGAACCCTCAGAGGAATTCCTTGCCACACTCTGCGGGGAAGGAGCCCCAGAAAAAGGCGATGGTGCTGGTGGAATCACCGGCGTTGATGATGGAGCAACAGTGGTATTGAATGGATTACCATCCTTTCTGCATAAAGTTCAGTTGCAAGCATTAAAATCGAGCTTGCATGCATAAAAATAGGGTTACAAGAAAATGATGAAGAGTATATAGGTCAACTAATTATACCACACAAATTTTCTTAAAAAGTAACTTGACTACTGAACATGAGAGTAGAAACTCTGATGCTGTAACGCTGGATTAACAAGCAAATATAACGGATAGGAAAGACTTACTTGAAAATTGGAATACTGAGCATTTTTTCTGGAATGGGTCCAGAGAACAGATTATTTTCAACATTTCTGCCAAAAGCCAAGTAGCATAGCGTGAGGAATAAGTAGGTAAAAACTGAGTAATTCTCAGAATCTATGTTATATTCAGTGAATTAAATGTAGCAATGGATTTAAGAATTCTAGAACCTGATCTACCAGTTATAATAAAAGATAAAATAAAAAAACGTGAAATTTTAATGTATAAACTTAGAGCCCCAAATAATAAGCATTTATATCCGCATATAGATCACTCCAGACTAGCCGATTATCTGAATATGACTATTGGAAGTGAAAACTAAGAGTAAATGAATGGTTTAAGGAACAATCCATGAGGGAGGTGAATAGTGTTCTGAAAAGTTTTTTTGAGAAATTCTTAACAAAAGCACTCACCAACAATCCGAGGAGCAATGTATTTTTATAAAAGAGCACAATAAAAATGGAGGAAACAAAATGTTGAAACAAATAAGCAAAACAATTTTTAAGCAAAACAAAATGGAGGAAACACAATCTTCCTCTCTCTCTCTCTCTCTCACACACACACACACACACACACACACACACACACACACACACACACACACACACACACACACACACACCCACACACATAACATATAATAGGAAGAGAAAAAAGTAATCAATGGTTTCCCAGTTGTCCCAATCAATCCCTCCATAAGATCACAGATTTCCACACTCCCCCTCAAGCTAAGCCTTAGATGTTGTAGAGATCAAACTTGGTATTGACCTCTGAGAAGATGCGTAAAGGAAGAGTTTTGGTGAAGACATAGACAACTTGTCGGTATGTCAGGATGTAGCTTATTTACATAATTCCACCATTAACCTTTTTAGAGATGAAGCTATCACCTTCAATATGCTTGATTCTATCATGATGTGTAGGATTATTGGCAATATTGATAGTTATTTAACTGTCACAAAACATCTGTATAGACCTATTGGAGATATTGTAACATCTCATTTCTATTATCAAAAGAGAGGAATCAAAGAGTAAGAGAGTGAGAGAGAAAACAAAGAGTTGAGCAGGGAAGACAGGAAACGAGGGGAGGTTAGGAAGCCGAAGAGGTGAATTTCGCCTATAAAATGTCGCGGCCAACTTGGAGAGTCAAATGGCAATACTCGATCTCGTGCCATCGAGCCACACGAGAAGAAGAGGTAGTCGAAGGAGGTGGTGGCTCGCATATGTGTGGTTAGACTCACTGTGCTAGGTTGAGATGAGCTAGCGACGCCATGCTCACCGACAGAAAGGAGTAGGCGGCGTCTGTGTCAAGCAGTGAAGAAAGGCAACAGTAGGTGCCGAGCGGAAATCAAAAGAGTTGAGAGGAAAACGTTGTATGAAAATGGTTTTGCATAAACTAGCATTACCTCTCCGCATGACCTTCCTCCCCTCCACGTGGAACTATACCGTTAGGGATTTCTAGTCCACTTTTATCTCCCTAAGTGTCTGTAGCCACATCATCACCAAAATCATATATGTGCTGCCCATATCCATAGGAAGTCCTCCATCACCTGTAGGCTAATTTAGTGTTAAAACAAACATCTTGCAAATTACCCGACTTATCTCCACTTTCCCTATCCCTATTATGACGTCGAAGCTCCCTGAAATCACCAACTTCAAACCAACCTGATCCACGACCAGATTTGAGATAAAGTTGTGTGGCCCCACTATCCACCAACAGCAAAATCGGTTGTTTCCCAATCCGCCTCCTCACTTTCATGGTGAGATTTGAAGTGAAACCTACCACCAAATTTTGGGAAACCTTTGCTACATCAAAATGCAGATGGTCCTCCACCGCCTCTTCCTCTCATTCGTCACCCTCTGTCTCCTCCTCTTGAACTAAAAGGATTTGTAGGGTGCACTCCTTGCAATAGTGCCCTGAAGCATATTTTCTTCACAACATGCATTTGTGAGGCGCTTGAAATTGCACTCGAGAAGGGTTCCCATGTTTTTATCCTTCAACATCTCTTTTTAAAATGACACCATCTGGGTCCTTGGTGTTGTATCTGTCAAGGCGTTTTAGTATAATACTCATGTGTTGCCGCCTTTGATGTTCCTTTTTCACCTATTTCTCGTCCTTCTTCATTTGTGTGAGCTCAATCCTTTCCCTCAATTGACATGGTCTCCATGGTCGGATGGCTGCTCATATGTCGAGCTTTAGGCCTTTCAAGAAGTTTTCTTCCAGTCCTACAACAGAAATATCCCTCAACCTCCCTGACAAGAGCTCGAATTTCTGTCTTCCGTAATCGTCTCCTTTTGAGTCGGAGCATAGAATTGTCATGTAGGTCTACTTCCCGAATGGCTTGAACTCCAACAAGCAATCCTTAAACTACTCCTATGAGTACATCGGATACCTTGCCTCCATCCACTGAAACCACGCTAAAGCCTTTCTCCAAACATAATCTCATCGTCATGTGCTTCTCCTTCTCAATAAGCTCATTGACTGCAAAGTATCACCCCACTCGATTCACCCACCCATGAGCCACTTCTCTTTCGAAAATTTGCATGTTCAATTTTCTGCCCCTTGCATCTCCACCCCAACTTCCTCTTCCTCCAAAATTTCCACTCATGTGTCTAGGATGAAACTCCCTCCTCCGTTCATAGTTGTACGCAACTCTTGATTCCCTCTTTCCTCCTGCGTACTCTTCCATGCCGCTTGCAAGATCCCTCTAATTTTCAGCCCAGCTCGGAAGTTTCCACTTCCCCTCCTCTTGGAGTCCTAATGGGAGGCTCTTGGTGGAAGATGATGTCCTCCTTGTTTTCTTCTCATTTAGTCTCCCTCCCTTTTGACCTCGCAAAAGAATCCCTGGTCAACCCTTGGTTAGGGTTTGCAACTGGAACGATCGGCATGGCCTTAGACTGCATCTCCATAAGCTTCCTCATCATGTCTCTCATTTCTCCTATGCTCCCGAATCCGTTCTCCATTCGAATCTCTATGGAAGAAAATATGTCCTACATGACGGAGAACCTCTCTTCCATTCACAATTTGACTTGCCCAACTTCTTTTTCTATCACATACACTATCTGTGTTACCATCCCTCCAAAATTTTGCGCTGATATCAAATTGATATGCTTCAGAACCAAAATTAGTGAGCAATGAACGACGAAACGTCAATGGATAGGTGGAAAAACTCAAACTAGGGCGTCCTTACGAAAATCAAAGCAAAACAAGCAAGATAAAATAATGATCTACTGTTCAAGAGATAAGTATCACTCCATCTGATTCACCCACCCATGAGCCACTTCCCTTTCGGAAATTGGCATCTTCAATTTTCTGACCCTTGCATCTCCACCACAACTTCCTCTTCCTCCAAAATTTCCCCTCATGTGTCTAGGATGAAACTCCCTCCTCCGATCATAACCGTACCAAACTCTTGATTCCCTCCTTTCTCCTTCGTACTCTTTCATGCCCCTTGCAATATCCCTCTAATTTTCAGCCCAGCTCGGAAGTCTCCACTTCCCCTCCTCTCGAAGTCCTAATGGGGTGGTAGATGATGTCCTCCTCATTTTTTTCTCATTCAATCTCCTTCCCTTTTGACCTCGCAAAAGAATCCCTGGTCAACCCTTGGCCACGGTTTGCAACTGGAACAGTAAGCATGGCCTTCGACTGCATCTCCATGAGCTTCCTCATCATCTCTCGCATTTTTTCCCATGCTCTCGAATCTGTTCTCCATTCGGCTCTCTATGAAAGAAAATGTCCTACATGGTGGAGAACCTCCCTTCCATTCACAATTCGAATTGCCCAACTTCTTTTTCTATCGTACACACTATCTGTGTTGCCATCCCTCCAAGATTTTGCTCTAATATCAATTTGTTATGCTTCAGAACCAAAATTAGTGAGCAATGAACGACGAAACGTCAATAGATAGGTGGAAAAACTCAAATGAGGGTGTCATTACAAAAATCAAAGGTAAACAAGCAAGATAAAACAATGATCTACTGTTCAATAGGTAGATTGCCTCTCACACAAATCTAGATGTCGCTAAGAACACCACAAGAAGAAAAGAACGCAACAACCAACAAAAAAAATGCATAAAAAAAAACAAACCCTAGGTTATTCCCTTTAATAGAATCCTCCAGCACCCCCCTCCTTAATTCTCCTTCCTTCTATACAAGATTAGCAGCCGGAAGGCTTAGCAGCCGGAAGGCCCCACCCGGACATTGGGATCACCCGGGCCAGATTTGGGTGGGGCAAGCTGGTCTGGCATCTTTCTGGTTGGTCCAGACTTGGAGGGTTCACGCAGCACCGAATTCCAACCATGTGTATCTGAGGTGACAAAATTCCTCCTGTGCTTATCAAACATTCTATTTAAAGTCTTGGTGTTGTACGTTTTTGTGGTTACTAGTTTAATGATAGTTAAGAGAGCTTTCTCGGTTTGAGAAGAAGGGTACCAAATATGCTCCTGTGAAAAGAGGCTTGTATAAGGCTTATTTGTTAGCACTGTGAATAAGGAATCTGGCAAAATAAAAACAAAAAAGGTGCTTAAAGAGAAAAAACACAAATGCCTGAATTTCATTAATGATCGTGTAGCAAAAAACAGATGTAAAACTAGATTTTGTACACAAATTTTCAATCAGCCACCATCTTTACAAATCCCCTGCCAACGAATAGAATGTGTCATATTAGAAGTCACGTACGTTTAATAGACTCAAATGCATAAATTTCTAGATTAATTTATTTGATGATTGTCAAGGAGTACCATTAGTTTAATTTCATTGATCTAACTTTATAGGAACAATATTGATTGCATATATTATCTACCTAAATCAGGTCAAAAAGCCTTATCATAAACATATGATTCCCTTAATGATTTTCTGACTCATGCTGCTTTTGGCCACTATCAATTCCCCAACCATTCCAGGTTCTTTCCCTCACCTCCTAAGCAGTTAATTTGACTTCCCTCATAATCTTGCTAGCAAATCTTCACTAGATCTCACTAGATTTAAGGTTTTTCTTTCATTTTGAAGGAAATCAACATGGGAAAATTTTCATCCAGTTTTGAAGCTGTTTGGGACG